TTACATGTCAAAATCACTTGACTTTCACCCTTATCAAATATTATTTATCTGTATATGGGTCATTTCTGGACTCTGTTCTGTTCCACTGATCCCTTTATATCCTTTCATACAAGGAAATAATAGATTAACATAGATTTATGATATATAATTGATTAGTATAGATTTATGGTAAATCTTAAAGTCAGATAGAATAAATCTTCCAATTCTGGCATGCTTTTTCAAGTTTTAGGTCCTTCATATTATTAAATGTTTTTAAATTAGCTTGTTAATTTTAAAAAAAAACAACTGCTGAGACTTCATTCTGATTGCATTTGGAGGTAGTTGATATCTTAAATTTGTTCTTAATATTGAATATTCCAACTCATGAACATGGTATGTCACTTCATTATTTAGGCTTTTCTAAATTTCTCTAAGTTAGCATTTCACAGTTTCTATGTACAGGTCTTACACATAGTTCATTCAACTTACCCCTGTATTTTTTTATATTTTTGAATATATTGTTAATAGTATATTTTATTTCATAGTCTAATAGTTCATTACCAGTATGTGAAAATACCAATTTTGTATTCTGGGACATTGCTAAATTAATGTATTCTAATAGTTTTGCTGTTGATTTCTTATAATTTTCTACATGGAAAATCTTCAGCAACAACAAAAATTCTACTGCTTCCTTTTCAGGCTTTGTGCCTTTTATTCTTTTCTTATCTTATTGCACTGGCTAGGACCTCTGATACAATGTTGAATAGAAGTGGTAAGTCTTATTCCCATTTTCTTTTCATTGAGGTAAAATTGACCTATAATATATAAGTTGCAGGCATAAAACATAATGATTCATCTGTATTGATTGTATATATTGCCAACTGATCACCATAATAATGCTAGTTAACATCTGTCACCATACATAGTTACAAAATTTCTTTTTTGCTTGTGATAAAAACTTTTAAGATCTCTCTTAGCAATTTTCAAATATACAGTACAATATTATTAACTGTAGTCATCATGCTCTATATTACATCTCCGTGACTTATTACTTTTATAACTGGAAGTTTGTACCTGTAGACCCCTTCACCCATTTCACCCACCCTTCACTCCTGCCTTTGACAACCACCAATCTGTTTTCCCTATCTGTGAGCTTGTTCTTTTGTTTGTTTTGTTTTTAGATATGACATGTAAGTGAGATAGTTCATTATTTGTCTTTCTCTGTCTTATTCCACTTAGCATAATGCCCTCAAGGTCTATCCATGTTGTTGCAAAAGATGTAATTTCATTTTTTATGGCTGAATAATATTCCACTGTGTGTATGTATGTATGTATGTATGTTCCTATCTGTGAGCTTGTTCTTTTGTTTGTTTTGTTTTTAGATATGACATGTAAGTGAGATAGTTCATTATTTGTCTTTCTCTGTCTTATTCCACTTAGCATAATGCCCTCAAGGTCTATCCATGTTGTTGCAAAAGATGTAATTTCATTTTTTATGGCTGAATAATATTCCACTGTGTGTATGTATGTATGTATGTATGTATGTGTACAATACATATGTACACATACATACATACATACATCACATTTTCTTTATCCATCCATCCATTGATGGACACTTAGGTTGTTTCCATATCATATTCTCATTCTTTATATTCAGTATTACCATTCAGTGTGATGTTAACTATCCTGTACATCTTTATTAGGTTAAGAAAGTTTCCTTTTATTATTAATTTTTCAAAAGCTTTCATCATAAACTAATCTTCTATTTTGCTAAATGCATTTTCTACTCTATTATATAAGATAATTCACATGTAAATTATATTACTCATTTTCACACATTAAATGAACCTTATATTCCTGAGTTAAAGTTTATTTGGCCATGGAATATTAACCTTTTCATATATTATTCAATTGGATTTGCTAAAGCCTTGTTAAAGATGTGTTTTTGTTCATGAGAGTTTTGAGTTTTTAATTATTTCTTGTAATGTTGTCAGCTGATTTTTTTGTCAAAAGTATAGAAACCTTAGAAAATGAGTTGGAGAGTAAATAGTCTTACTCTATCTATCTATCTATTTATTTATTTATTTATGTATTTATTTTGATTCTTATAGAATTGGTATTATTTCTTCCTTATATGATAGACTGTTCCAGTGAAGCCATCTAGGTCAGGATTGTGTGTGTGTGTGTGTGCATGTGTATATGGGGAAGGAAGGGTACAAACTATAAATTCAGTTTCCTTAAATGATATAAGGCTATTAAAGTTTTGTATTTCTTTTGGGTCACTTTTGGTAATCTGTGACCAAATTTGTTAATTTCTTTAACTTGTCAAATTTACTGGCATAAAATTGTTTATAATATTCTCTCTTATCCTTTCGATGTTTATAAGATCTGCATGATATATCTTCTTGCATTTCTCATATTGGTAATTATGTTTCCTCCCTTTCTTCTTGTTCAGTTTTTTAAAGCTCTTATTGGCTTTATTAACTTTTCAAGAACTTCTAGCTTTTCTCATTTCTTCCGTTGGTTTGTCTTCTTAAAAGTTTTATTAACTTCTGCTCATTTTCATTATGAACTTTCTGTACTTACACTGTATTTCATTGTCTCTTATCTTTTCAGATGCCAATGAAAATGGTAGATTTTACACCTCTCTTTTCTAATATAAGCAATTAAAGCAATGTATATTCTCTAAGAATTTAGCTGCATTTCACAAATTTTGACATTGGTTTTCTTCATTTGTTTCAAAGTATTTTCCAACTTATTTTGTGAATTCTTCTTTAACCCTTGGATTATTTAGTAGTATGTTATTTAATTTCCCAAATATTTGGGAATTTTCTAGGTTTCTTTTATTAACAATTTCTGATTTAATTCCATTTGATCAAAGAACGTACTTGAATGATTTAATCCTTAGAAATATATGGTCTATCACATATGATCTAGTTTTGTGGATGTTCCATCTGCAATCAAATAGAATATGTATTTTACTGTTGTTTGGTAAAGAATTCTGTAAATGTCAATTGACAGTGTTGTTCACATCTTCCACATTCTTACGGATGATTTTTTGTGTATTTGTTCTACCAATTTCTAAGAGAAGGGCATTGATGTATCCACCTGTGATGATGGATTTCTTTGTAGGTCACTTTAATACTGTCACATTTTGCTTTATGTATTTGGAAGCTGGTTTATTAGGTAAATATACATTTAAAATAGTTTTGTTCTCATGAGTGATTGACCCTTTTATAGTTTTAAATTCCTTTCTTTTATTTTGGTAGTACCCTTCATCTTTAGTACTACTTTGTTAGTAATATAGTCATGTCAGGTTTCTGACACTTACATGTATGCATACTGTTTTTCCATCCTTTTACTTCAATTTGTTTGTGTCTTTATGTTCAAAATGAGTTTCTGATGAATATGATATGGTTGTGTCTTCCTTTATTATCCACTCTGACATTCTCTATTCCAGGATAAATTCCAGTTGGTCTAAATATTTAAATGTAAAAATTATACCATTACAAGAGTACAAGAAACTATGGGACAATTTTTTAAGTAATTTTGGCACAAGAGGAGGTCTTTCTAACTAAAACACAAAACCAAGAATCCTAAAAAAAAAGAAAATAAATTGATGAATATGACTGACTACATAAGAAGTTTTGAATTACAAAATGAACCATGAGCTGTCAAAGGCAAATGACAAACAAGAAAAAATATTTGCAGTTCATATCATAGTTACAAGATTTATTTCCTCACTCCTTTATGTTTCTACAAATCAATAAAATTGAAAACTTAAGAGAAAAATGGGGAAAGGATATAACAGCATAGTTTAGAGAAAAAAAAATCTATTAACATCTTTTGAATATAAATATTTATTGACCTTTCTCAAAACAATAAAGTGAACACATGCTCATAGTACTTTTATCTGTCACCTATAATACGGAAAAGGTCAAAAAGTTTGACCACACTCCTTTGGCAAGGGCACTGGAAACTTTCAGTCTTACACACTGTTGTTTAAATGTAAATTGATATGATTTTTAAAGGATGGCAGTTTGTTAATCACTATCAGAATAGCAATTTACATATCTTTTGACCAAGCAATTCCACTTCTCAGATTTACCCTATAGACACACTGGCCCATGGACAAAATTCCCTACATATATACAGTTTTATTCATTTCAGCTTTGTTTATAGTTATAAATATTGACAGCAAAAATATATCTCACTTAGGTATTTGTTAAGTTAGTCCAATAAGACAGAATATCCCACAACTGTTAAAATACTAAAGAAACTACTCTACAAGTGCTGATGTGGGACAGTCTCCAAAGTAATGAAACGAGTGAAAAGCAAAAGGCATAAAATAAAATAGTCTGTTACTATTGTGTAAAGAATAATACAATTGTTTGCATACATGTTAAATATTTCTAAAATGATGCCAAGAAATGGGTGGTACAGGTTTACTGCTCTAGCGGGGACAAGTGGATGGCCTGGGACAAAGGTGGCAGGGAAGTTCTTTTGCCATATACCATTATATGTCTTCTGAATTTTGAACTATTTAAATGTATTATCTGTTCAAAATAGCAAAAAGTGTTTTCAAAATTGTAACAAGGTAAAAGTATCTTGTTAAAATATCTGATTTATTACTTATAATACTAAAATCTAAAATCAGGATCTGGTTTATCATCCTTCTACTCCTGTTTGAAGTTTTCCTCCTTTGTGCTGACAGTAAGATTGAAACAAAATATCTGACCCTTTTGTAGGTGCTGCTCAGTAACTGCTTAGTGAGTCTCCACTCCCACCTCACTTTGGTTTAAAGCTCCAAGAGGGCAGATAGTCTTTGGAAGAAAAATTGTTTAAATACCCATATTGTTTCAAATTCATGACTGACAGTATACATCTTTAAATGTTTATATATGTGTGATATAGAAAGAAATGGTTGGAAAACAATTTTAGTGGATTTCAATTTTAAGGATTTAGGAGAAAATAACCAAAAGCTGGAAGTCTGATGATGGTCTTATTTTCTATTTTAGATATTAAGCACCGCCGAATACCAATCTTATTCTTTGCAAACAAGATGGATCTTAGAGATGCAGTGACATCTGTAAAAGTGTCTCAGTTGCTGTGTTTAGAGAACATCAAAGATAAACCATGGCATATTTGGTAAAGTTTTATATTTGTCATGCTAGCATTCTGAAAAGTCTCTAAGCTTCAGTTTTTCTTTTCCAGGCATTTTATAAGTGACCTAACATGGTAGGATGTAAGATCAGGATTTTGTTTTATAGAATTAGAGCATTCTAGATATTCATGAATGTATTACTGTTAAAGTCTTTTTAAATCTTTTTGGGGATAGGAAAATGTAAACAACTCTTTAAAAGAATAACTTAAACAACCCACTTAAACACCCAGTTTCAACCACACTGATCTCCTCCTGCACATTGAACCAGCCAACCACAATCCCATCTCGGGGCATTTGCACTTGTTGCTCTCTTTGTCTGAATCATTCTACAAATAATTTTCATGGCTGGCTGGCTATTGTACTTCCTTCAGGAAGAGACCTCTCCTGATAACTCTCTCAAATATCACTCTATCTTGCCTCTATCTCTTGTTTTTGCATTATTTTTCTAGTGCCATGTGACCTCTTCTTTATTTGTTTGTTTTTTTATAGTCTGTCTTCCTACACTAGTGCATTAGCACCATGAGAGCTGGGATTTATCAGTTTCCTTCTGTAAAATAAAACTCTGTAACCCTTGGAGTAGTAATATGAGTGGGAATATTAATCTTATGTAGACATACTAGTAAGGTAGAACTCTTAATTAGTGTCTGAAATTACTATACACTGTTTACTTGCAGTTTCTTACTAATATATTTAATTCCAGTGTGCCTTTCTACCAAAATACTGTAACAAAAATCATCAGAAGTTATACATTAGTATTTTAGTGCCTACCACTACCTTATATTAAACTCCCTTTTATTCACCACCCACCTACCTCCCTCTGCCTGCTGCAAGATGTCCTTCTCTTGACAGTTTTCCCTTTTTTTAAAAAAAGGTTATCTATGGAGAAAGGCTGAACACAGAGACAGGGAAATCTACTCCCTCTAGAAGGAAAATTATGATGTGAAGAAAGGGTACAGTAGAGCCAGAAAAGAACTTGAGATCTAACCTTGGAGCTAAAAAAAAATAACAGTATAGAAAAGAGCTTGAGAAAGCCCTGAAAATTCAGTAATTAAGACCTTCAGCAACTATACCTAGGAGTGAAATGCTGCATATCTTGAGTGAAACCCTCTCTTCTTTAGAAGTAGAGAAAGAGTCAATGTGTACTAAATGATTCTTGAGTTGCAATTTGAGGTTCTGTGGTATTTGGTTGCTTAAGAAAGTAGGGATTTTAGGAAGAGAAGTATCTTGTGATAGAATTTTGTATTTCTCTAAATCATACCTAAACTAACAAAACCTAAAGTAGAATAATTTTTAAACTCTGCATTGTATTAAGTATTGTGACTGCTTTTATAGCAAGTACATTCAAAAACATAGTTCTAATTAGTAAAGATGCAGTCTTTAATTTTGAAGTAAAAATTAATTTTGCAAATGGAAAAATCTCTTTCTACTTAAATAATTACCAGTCAAATTTTACAGATTTATTCAATTGTGACATCTAAATATTTTTCAATGATAGAAAAAATGATATCCTGATACTATAAGGATGTGGAATATTATATTGCCAATTTCTGTATTTCTGTATAACTTACAGAAGAATGCATAATATTTATTTTAAATTTATCTATAATTTGACTTCTCCTTAATTCAAACTGGACAAGTCACCAAGTTCCAATTAATGTTTCATTTGTTAAGTTTGTTCTTTCATTTTTTGCAATATTTTTAAAAGCAGGTATAAAATTGAAAATACATTTATCCCTTTCTGGTTTTAGAAAGAAAGGTAGTGCTTAGTGATATAGAGATAAAATATTGTATCTCTCTTGCCTTAGGTACAAGTAAATTTACTGGGCAATAAAGAAAAGATTATGGAGAACTAAAGTCTGAAAAATTAAAAGAAATTTTTTTGTTGTTTGTTTTTTCTTAAACCATTATGGTAAACATATAGTCAACTGATTTTTAGGGTGTGATTGCATTATTGTTCTTCCTGTGCATTCTTTGACTCAGTCCCTGGTATGATATGTATATGTATTTGCTTATTTACTATCTTGTGAGAGAGGTGGGTAAGTAGATTTATACAATGTTAGCTGGAAGGATGAAAAAATAAATAAGTTAGGATAATAAGAGAAAGAATAACAATCTAATTCTCTCTGCAACGTAATTGAAGTTAGGGAGCAGTTCACACAAAGGTTTGGAGAACTTGCTTTCCAAATAGAGGGGCCAGAAAGTGAACACGCTCTTGGATGCGAATGTGCCTGGTGTGTTCTAGGCATCACAAGAAGTCCAGGTTGGCTAGGGCAGAGGTTTCTTGTAGATGAGGCCACTGAAAAATAACCGGGGGCCATACCACATGTAGCTTGGTAAGACATGGTGAAGACTTAGGCTTTTATTCTAGTTACAGATCTTACTGCTTATTTGAAAGGAAAGGTAGATTTCAGACATTTGGGGATTATTAGGAAAAGATGCAAGGTTTTTAGTAGGATAGTGACACCTCCACCAAAGGAGAAGGGTTTCTTCATTGTATTACTTGTTTGGGACTGTATTCTTTTTGAAACTCTAGGTGTGTAATAAAATCAAAACTTTGATCTTTCCTGATTTGAGTGTTTCAGTCACTCATGTTTCACTATTAATAATCCATATTTTGCTTTGAATAATTGTATTATTTGAATGTATTTGAATCATGCTGTTTGTTTCTGTCTTCCTATTTTAAAATAATTCTATGGTAAGTCATACTCTTAGTCTAATAAGTAATTCCCTGGAAGTAATTTCTGGTTTGATTAGAATTAAATTAACTTTTTTAGGGGATCTAGTACATTTTACAATCATGCTTCAGTACACTAAAAGGAGCCCTAATCATTCAGAAAATCTAATTACATATACTAATTGCTAGTGTATGATGATATCTTGAAAGGAAATGACTTTATCAGTAACATGTTATGAGAAATTGTCAGTCTACCTCTTTGAATAAGATCATTTGATACTCTAAAAACCCTCTGCATTTTATAATTTTAGCTTATATAGCTTAATTGTGATTATTTAGAAAACAGTGTTACAAAGAGGATTTAAGTTTACTCTTGTGAGAATGGAAAGACAATGAAAACACCCATTTAGGTGTTTTATATACATATCTGAAATATTTAATTTTCACAATAAACGTGGGGTCAATGGTACTATTTCCCCATTTTCTAGATGCTGAAACTGAAGACAAAGACATAGCATTAAATAACCTACCCAGATTCCTGAAGACAATAAATATATAACTTCTCAGTGATAGTTTTCCAAATGTCTATACAAATTATGAATAACTTTCTCACATCTTACTCCTGAGCACTCAGACTTTTATTTTCCTATGGATATTCAGTTCAGTGCTTAGCCAGTTTTTCAGATGTGTGTTACTAGACTATTTTAATTTGCCATATAACAAGATTGTAATTATTGATTCATACAGTTTTATGATAAAATGAGTATGTTTCTTATGTATTCTATTTCAGTGCTAGTGATGCCATAAAAGGAGAAGGATTGCAAGAAGGTGTAGACTGGCTTCAAGGTACATCACAAATACTATGCATCTTCAGTCCTTATTTCCTTTCCATTCACATTTTTCCTTCCTTTTTTACATTTTATTTTTATTATATCATTGCCTTTTCCTCTTGTTTCCATTTATTTCTGCTGTCAGAAAAAACAATACAGTAAGTATCTAATACTTGCTCCATTTACTCATGTTACATTTTTCTAAAGGATTAATTTAAATAAAGTGTTTTCATCTTTACAATCAATATACATGACCAATCTATAAAATAATTTTAATTTATGGCAAGAGATTTCTGTCTGATCTAGTAATAGAAGCACATTTGAACTTTGGGACAAATCTTAGGCCTTATTCTCAGTAACTAAAAATAAGTCTGAATGGCATGTATCTTTTAAGAATCATGCTGTACCTTTGTATAGCTCCAAAAGCATATTTACGTAACTTTTAACACTTCATAATTAGTAGTATAAATACTGGTATTCTATTGATATATATTTTGCAATTTGTTATTCATGGAAGTAGCTATCATAGTGATGCTGGGGTTCTTGTTTGCGGAGCCAAAGAATGAGCTTCACCAACAGTCAAGGTAGGAGAGCAAGGTACAGGCTTTTATTTAGAGATACAGTGAAAGGACAGAGCTCCCGGCTCACGCCAGGAGGGGACAAGAGAGTCCGTAGTGGTGCGTTGTCTAGGGGGTTTTATAGGCAATTGAGGATTTTTTGAGAACACGAAAATACTTAGGGGTGGGGGCTTGTTAAGTGGTCCCTGAATATTAAAAATTAACTTAACTGTAAGGAATTTCCTGCCTTGATTTCTCTCTGGGACACCAGCACCTTGGTCCAAGAGCACATCAAAAGGCTGCCTGCCCACCCCCCAAGGTGGGCTGAGGTATTATCTACTTGCTAAAGAATCCTGCCTCTGGAACTTCCTGGGTGTTAAAATGCAGTCTTATCTTTAAGATGGAATTCTTCCTTCCTTTTACCATGCTGTCTACAGCTGGCTCTGCATGCTAAGTTAGTTGCTCAGTTTGCAAAATCACCTTGTCAGATCTGAAGGAGGAAAGACAGCACATAGGACTGGGCCTTTTAGCATGCTAAAGTGAATCTTACACATGGTTACAAATGATTAGCATAATAAAACATGTGCTACTCTTCTTTATCTGAGGAACATTAACTGATCTCACTGAAGAATGATTTTAGAGCTCAATGTTTAACATAGAGTTTTAGTAGGGGGGTTTTCTTGCATGTAGTTACACTGCTCTGACTGCAACTATCCCACCCTGCCCCCTCCAGAGGCCCTCACCCTACTCTGACTACATCCATGGTCCCTGTCTCAATAGGTTGTTACATCCTTACTATATCAGGGAATAAATTAAGATACATCATTTTCCCTAAGGTGACACACTCCAGAAGCAACAGGAATGGCTTGGAGCACAGTGATGCACATAGAGCAATAGATGTGAATGAAATAAAGTTCTATAGGTCCTCTTTATTACAGGACTGTGCAGGTCAGGTAAAAAAATGAACATTTGTGAGTTTAACAACTGAGGATCATTCCTATTAGGAATCTCCCTGCCCTGAACAAGGGTACCTAAGAAGATATTATAAAATCTTCTCAGAGTCTTCTGGCTATAAATTTAATTTATTGTGCACTAACCATTTAATGCCAGTAATGTGTGATTCTTTTATCTCTTCTGCATGTCATAGCAAATCTAAGAGTAGCCTGCTTGTCCCATAGAGAGACATATTTCTTTGGTTCAGAGTACTAAATGTTCATCTGATAAATATTTTTGTGTTATTAGTAAAATATGGTATCTTAGTTAACTGCATATACTACTGTATTTCTTTGTGATTTGTATTTATATAGTCATCATGACATTTTCCATTAAACTGAGAAGAAAAATGTAGTCACATATTATAATTAAGTGAAATGTAAAGAGACCTCCAGTGGCTCTCAGAAAAACTAGTGGAATTTTTCTGTGAACACACCAACTTAGTTTCTTAGTCTGTGGTAAGGAAGTGGTCAACGTTTCAGGACCTGATTGCCACATAAAACAGATAGGTTACAGATGAAGGAACATTCCAGAGAAGACACCAAAAGTATATTCAGCCTTGATTTTTCCCTTTACCAGTGCTTATCGCTCACAGTGAATATAGAGGATGATGGAAACCCTGCCAACGCTAATAAAAGCACAGTACTTACTGAAAGTAGGCTGGCAGTCGTCTGGATTTTAAATTTTAGGTCTTTTTTTTTTGTCTAATAATTAGGCCACTAGGTGTCAGTAACAGTCCAACATCACAGTGCCACCTGCCACCTCTGGTTTTAACCTAATTTATGAATCTGCTTTTTCTGTCTACTATCTTTGCATCTTATAAGGGAGGTGAATTATTGGAAATATTTTTGTGCCCTTTTTTTTTTCTTTGCCATATCTAATCTTATAGCAGTTCTCTACAAAGTAAGTAGTAGTATCTCCATTTTATGTAGGCAGCATGGAATAGTAGAAAAAGGAATTAGGTTTTTAAGTCTAGTTTTATTTATTCCACTAATTATTAATTATTAACAAACATTATCTTATGAAGATAATAATTTTCTTCACCTATAGCATTTTAAAAATGTCGAAAATTGTTATACATATTAAATGAAGGACTGTATGTGTTAAAGTACCTAATGAAAGGAAAGGAGCGACACATAGCAGCAATTCACCGGAGAGTTCCGCTTTATTAGGGAAAGGTGCTGGGTTATATAGGAAGGGGCATGAATTGATTGAGGTGTCACTTCTACGGGGCTGGTGGCTGTTGGCTAGGTGCTGGGATTGGGAGAGGGATGAGAGGTGATTGGGCTTCAGGTGGCGCCGGCGGGAACTGAGGACCCCGAAGAGAAGCCGGAAGTTTGCCATCTTACTGGTGGGGACCCTTCATTCCCCCCTTTCTCCTCTATGGGTTTGTGGACGTTGCTTTCTCTCTGGCTGCTTCCTGCTGAACAGGGGCGGAGAAGGGAGTGAGGGCTTGAGGATTGGGAGGAAAGGGTTGATAGGACTCCCCGCAGTAAGGACGAGTAGATGTGGACTTCTTCAGGTTTGGAAATCAATGAAGGTTCCCTGTAACCATAGGTTGAGGACCTGTTGATTCCAATGGTGCCAAGAGGATATGGGTGTCAGGAGCCAGGCGTCTGCGGCCATTGTTTCCAGGAACAGTTTCCAGTGGAGAGAGGGGTCCATCTCAGCGTGTGGTGAGGAGGTCACGTGAGGGTGAGGGATCTTCTGTGGCCAGAAGCTGGTAGTTCCTGAGTAAAAGCTGGTTGAAAGCTTGATTAGAGATTTTTCCGACTTGGGATTTGATGAACTTTATTATACAGGGTAAGAAGAGACAGGCGAGAAGAATGATTATTATGGGGCCTGCAATGGGCCAGAGCCAGGTGAGGAGGGGGTTTGTTAGTATTGAAGAGAATGGGTTGGAATTGGAAGCAGAGTGGAGGCTGGAGGCAAGGTCGGTGAGTTTGGTAATGTCAGTTTCTACAATGCCGGATTCGTTGATGTAATAGCAGCACTCTTCCCGGAGGAAGACGCAGGTGCCGCCCTTCTCGGCTGTAAGCAGATCTAGGGCCCGCCGGTTTTGAAGGGTGACTTTAGCTAGCGAAGTGACCTGTCTTTGGAGAGAGGCTAGGGAATCGGCAGTGGATGTCAGGGCTCCCTCAAGTTTGGCGTCGAGATCTCTAACTGCCCATAGAGAGTGACCCAAGGCTCCTCCCGAAAACCCTGCCCCAATGGCTGAGGTGATCAAAGAGCTACTGACCATGATGGGAAGGAAAGCAGCTCTTTTTGTGCGCGAGGGCAAGGGAGGTTGGAGCTCAAGAAATTCTGCCATGCTGTAAAGTGTAAACTGTGGGATTAGGGTGACGAGAATGCAGGGTGTATCGGAGTTGAGAGGCAGTGAGTTGAAAAGACTGCCATTACACTAAAAGAAGTGTCCCGGTTGCGTAAAAGTCTTAGAGCCGGAGGTAGGGGTGTAGATAGAGAGGCAGTGAAGTGCGCTGGAGGGGGGTGGAGTTGGGCCTACACAGTGGTGGATGGTGAGATTATCTGCGTATTCTGGTTCCCATAGGGGTATGTCTGCCAGGGGGCAGAGGGGTTGTCTTTCTGCATGGAAGGAGTAGTTGGAAATATTAAGGGGCACGGCGGCCAGCAGTGGGCGCTGTAGTGATGCGCACAAGAAACAATTGGCTGTGTTAAGGGTGTGGTTGAGAAAGATGGTGGTGTCCTGAATGAGCTGTAATGAAGAGTAGGAGAAATGGGAAGAGGGGTGGGGATAAGAAGATGAAGAGGCGCCGTCAAGAGTTTGGATAATGACTTTTTCGGAATGTCTGCTATCTGATGCAACTTGAGAGATCTGGGAATGAGAGGGAACATACTTTCGAGAGATATGAAGGGTACTGTGGGGGGTCGAGGACCCCCCGTAGTAAACTGAGGCTGTGACTCTGGCAGCCCATCGAGAGTCCCAGGGATCTGGGATTGATAAGGAGAATGAGCCGTTGGGATATTTCATGAAACGGTTGGAGGAGTAATACTGTGGGTACTGGAAGTTACCCATGTAGTGAATGGTGCAAGACCAGTAGGGACATCCCCCGTAGGTGTCTGGCCATCGCCTGCAATAGGCTTGTCTTTGGTCATAGAGGAAGCAGAGGTAGGGAGAATAAGGGTAGCTGCTAGTGAACACTTCGGTGGAGGGAGGAAAGTGGAGGTATAAAGGCTCAGAGCAGCTTTTCAGAGGGCAGTCTGGTGTGGCAATGAGGGCAGTAACTTTTGTTTGATGCTGTGTGTAAGTCTGTCTGACTTTGAATCGCCATACAAAGGAGGCTGGGGTGGTGGGGAAGACAATAGGAATGAGGAAAAAAAGCGAGAGAGCAGTAAAGGAGGAAAAAGTCATGATTCGGGTATGGATGGCAAAGGGGGTGAACGGGATTTTGGAGGAAAGAGGACAGTAAGGTCAGGAGTCTGGAGGGAGGGAGAGTCTGTAAACTTT